GTACTACTGTTTCATGAGAAACTATTTGTTCTGTAAGCCTTCACCTGAAGTAAAATAAAAATTTTAAAAGAATCTGGAGATCCATTTCATTTGAGGGATGTTTTATAAGTCTTTCATCTTAGCATGAACACCTAGCAAAATGCCTAGTACTCAGCAAATGCTAAGTACAAGTTTCTTGAGCCATTAATAAAATTGAACCATCAATAAAAGTGTAATTTTCTATCATTTTTACCGAACTAATTGCAAGATTAGACTTACTATATTTTCTTTGATTCCTTTGGTAGGGGTAAAATGAGATTTCTATAGTGATGCGTTATGGAGAAAGACAGCAAGACTAAAAAAATCTTAATCAACTAGTAGCTTATAAAATGGGCAATTACAATGATTACAAACAATAGCAAGATAGCACAGATAAAATTTTAAACATTTAAAATTAAAACTGCACAACAGGGTAGCTTTTTAAACACGTGGGAATGATTTGATATACTAAACTATTTAAACAGTTTATTCTTGAAAACAGTAGATAAACTGCTATGAATCGACATCTTACCTTGAATACCTCCATTGGAAGAGGAGACTTTGCAGCATCAATAAGGGATTTTTCCAGAGCATGTTTCCATTCAGATGCCATCTTCAAAGAATAGATTTCTGTATCAACAGCAAACCATACATGAGTTTAAGAACCAAAATTTTCTACTGGGTCATTCCTGAATTTTATCTTCCCAGGCTTTCATAATAAATCAGCAGGCTCAGCAACCATAAGAGTTCACACCAGGCCCACCATAAAAGGTCATCTGCTAAAGGGATTTTCTGAAATTAAATGGCAACCTGGGATCCTGCTATCAGAAATGAAGAATAAATTTAATAGGGCTCTTCTTCAGGGAACATTAGTATACATTTCACTGGTATTCTGTAAGTAATTTAATGGTATTAATCATATTAGCAAAACCTTCAGTAATCCATTGCCCCAAATTCCACATTACCACCTAGGAAGTAATATCCACTGATGAAGAACTTACTATCTGATAAATTTCTAAACTAGCAAAGACTCTTGTCTGGCATATACAGTTATTACGGCATATTTTTCACTAAACCTCTAAGCTCTCATGTGCTAAAAATAGCCCAAGTAAGTCATAAAATTTTTAAAAGGTAAATTAAAATTTACCAAGCAAGTTTAATATTTACACTTGAAATGTTGCTAACACACCACATGTTGCCTATATTTTTCCCCAGGTAGAGGGGAGGGAGGGATTTACGAATGGAGGTTTCACTGCCTGAATGCAAATTTAAAAGAAAAATTGTTGAGCACTGTTTTTTACCTATTGCTGAAACTGCAGGAGAATTTTATGTCCTGATCTCAACAGATTTAAGACCTTATCAAAACAGGATTTGCAGAAGCACTCACTGGAAGTAGATATGTTTATACGTTCACTATATCAACCCAAGCTACTTCAGACAGACAGTTAAGGTATGAATATGAATTTAAGCACAGTTAAAAGGCAACATTAAACCTTTGGGGCTATGTTTTTAATTTCTTGCACGTCTGCTTTTTAGCATGGAGCCATATATTTTGATCCTTATAACTTCTGAACTCACCTTGAGAATTAAGCCCCTAGTAGGAGATATGTTTTTGCGGTTTTTTTAGTCTCTTCAGGCCATTAATGAGCCCTGGTGGCACAGTGGTTAAACACTCGGCTGCTAATCAAAAGGTCGGCAGTTCAAACCCACCAGCCGCTCCAAGGGAAAAAGACTTGGTGATCTGCTCCCATAAAGATTTCAAAAACCAAACAAAACCCGTTGTCGTGAAGTTGATTCCAACTCATAGGGCTAGAAAACCTTATGGGGCATTTCTACTCTGTCCTATGGGGTCGCTATGAGTCAGAATTAACTCCACCGCACACAACAATAACAAGATGTGGCCGGAACTAGCCAAGTGATCAATGCACTGCCCACTGTCGTTTCAGTTACACAAAGAGACAAAGAAACATGAACGGTTATTAGTAACAAAATGTCCTCTACTTGTGTATATTGTCTATAACCCTTTATAGCACTTCATTTATTCTCTTCTCCCTTTGGGGAATTTTTTCCCCCAATTTGGTATTTCTATGTCAGAACAGAAGCCCTGGTGGCAAAGTGGTTAAGAGCTAACTAAGGCTGCTACCCAAAAGGATGGCAGTTCAAATCTACCAGCTGCTCCTTGGACGGCACACAACAACAACATGCCAGAACAAAACAGAATGGGATTCTTCTTAATAGTATGTCATATATTTTGAGGCATATACCAAAACCAAAGTCGCTGCCGTCAAGTTGATTTTGACTCATAGCGACTCTGCAGGGAAGAGTAGAACTGCCCCATAGGGTTGCCAAGGAGTGGCTGGTGGCTTCGAACTACAGATTTTTTGGTTAGCTGCTGAGCTCTTAACCACTGCACCACCAGGGCTCCTCTGAGGCACATACCAAAACTAAAAAGCGACCCTATACAACAGTGTACAACTGTCCCATAGGGTTTCCAAGGAGTGGCTGGTTGATTCGAACTTTTGGTTAGGAGCAAAATGCTTAACCACTATGCCACCAGGACTCCTTGAGGCACACAGTAGGGGCTAAATACAAACACTTATGCAAAAAAGGAAAGTCTCTTCTTACCTCTACAAGTGAGGGAAGGGGGCCCTAAGGAAGAAATTGCTTATAACTAGGTCCCACAAAGTAGGAAATGGGACCAGTTCACAGAGCTTTGTATTCCATGGGCGTGAGAAGGATACCCTGGAATGCATTAATGGTTCAGCTCTGGGGAGAAATCCTAGGTAAGGGTGAGGCAATTTAGAGGACTCTTGGAAGCAAAGCCCAGAGGGCACCAACTGCAGCAGTTCCCAAGGGGCTCAGGAGAGAACACCAAACAAGAGGCTAGACTTCCTGACTGACATGAACAAACTCACTTCTCCGGACATCTAGGAGGAGGCAGACAAGGACTTCAACCGTGATGTGGTAGTAAAAGGAGAACAGACTCATGAAAAAGGATGGAATTTCCAAAGCCAAGACCAAAGGAAGGTCTGAAGACATAACGGGAGAGAAAAAGGGGAAAAAGTCTACCTAGCTGGTACCCTTAATTCCCTCACTCTGTAATCATAATTAAATTACACCCTTGAATGTGGTATCTGGGTGGGAGAGGGAGCTCCTAAGACAAAGAAGTGAATAAAAGAGTGGTTTTAAAAAATTCCTCAAGGCCAAATCAGTCGCCTGCGAGTCAATTCCAACTCATGGCAACCTCCTATGTGCAGAGCTACATTTCATAAAGTTTTCGAAGCTTGACTGTTCAGAAGCAACTCCCCAGGCTTTTCTTCCAAAGTGCCTCTGGGTGTGCTCGAACCACCAACCCTTCAGTTAGTAGATGAGTGCTTAACCAACTGTGCCACCCGGGGACTCCTACTCAAGGCCAGTAGCAATGAAAACCCAACATGGCCAGAGTTAAGCTCAAACTACCCTAACCCAGTGAGATGACGTGCAGACCCCACCAGGGAGTCTCACAGCCCTTTCTGACCCCTACTACTGGCAGAGTAGGACTGGACCAGCCAAGTCATCCCCAGAGAGCTGACTCCTCAGCCCACATGACACCATGTCTCTCTTATCATACTAGAGATAAATGGAATAAGAAGCCTAGTTCCAGGTGCTTTTTTCTTTGTCTTCTTTATAAGGATATTACATTCTAAAATGGAATTTAACCTCAAGGCAAGGCATACTTCTTTTCTTAAAAGGTGAAAATTAACTGCAGTTTTGTCAGTATGCTCAACCACCTGCAAAAGCTAAACATCTAATGGTTGCAATAAACAAAGAACAATATTCCTTGTGTGCATTTCATTAGACAGAGGCACGTTGGTTACACGGGCAAGTATATGGACAATAAATAGCACCATTAAAAGAACATAAAATATTTTTTTAAATGATCGTGTTGCAGGTTATTTAATAGAGTGCATCATGTCAATTTGTTTGTGGGAAAGTAATAAGCAATTAAAATGTGTCTTGATTCATCTCTACCTAGAAGCCTACATGAAAATGAGGCTATGTCCCTTTGTAGTATCTGGCAGGCTGTTTCACAGTAAGTGCTACACGAAACAGAAGCGCATAAAATAATAATCTTTAGGTCTCAGACTACACGAAGGCCTCGGGGGTGAAGCCTTTCTTTCACAGCCTCCCCGCCATCACCACTCCCTCTTTCTCTAGAGACCCTAAGAGGACCGAGTAGAACTGCCCCATAGGGTTTCCAAGGAGCGGCTGGTGGATGCCAACTGCTGACCTTTTCTGGTTAGCAGCTGTAGCTCTTAACCACTGTGCCGCCAGGGCTCCCTAGGTTTCTTACCAGTGAGGAAATACTAATCTATGGTTTTTAAGATCTAGTTAACATTGGAAAGCAACAACCTTTTCTGAACTAAGGAGGAGGAGGCCTTTAAGTTAGATTCAAAATCTTCCTAATTCCAGGAACTATCTGAAAACAAGACAAAAAGGTTGAGAGAAGATTTGAAAGAAAAAAAATTTTTTTTTTATATCTAGAAATAGGTACAAAAATCTCAAAAAGTTTCACCTCTTTGGCTTCTACAAAAACATACAAAAGTTTATCTTGCTTTCTAAAACTCTAGAAATATGAAAGCAGGTGGGCTTCTCAAAATGACCCCTGGTCTAAATGATCTACTTAAACAACTTCTTAGAAAATCAAAGTATAACCACAATACTTGTGAATACTTGGAAAATGCCAATCACTTGATATACCTTTTACTAGTCAGCAGCCCAGCAAATGTATAATCATCCCATTTTACAGACAAGGAAACTGGGGCTCAAAATAGTACAGTAACTTGCCAGGGGCTCTGTAGCTAGTGACAGAAGTGCAGAACTTGGAAGCTGACTGCAACCCATGCTCTTTCTAATATCCCAGGCTTCTCAAGCTGGATTCACATGTGGGCCCCTTTTAAAGGAGCAAAAATTCTCATGGACTTAAAATGTAATCTTAAATGTCCAGGAGTCATCCTTGGTGCCAAACTAGAGATCAGACTGACAAAGAATATCTCTATTTTCTCTGCCTCTGTTTTAAAAAGTTCACCTAACATAATAGGGGTACAGGAAATAATATAGCCCTAGACATTTTAGAGGGTGTCTTCACTCTGGGTACTCGCCCTCCCAATTGGCTCCCAAAGCCCTTGTCAATTACATGGCTTCCTAAAGGTGAGCCAGACTTGTCAGTTCCGCCCTTCTCTGCAGACATACCCGACTTTCTATTCAGTCAATTCATTCAGCAAATATTTACTGAGTGCCTACTATGTGCCAGGCACTGTTCTAGGCGCTGGATACAGGGAAGTGAATAAAACAAGTATTTTAGTTAGGGAGGATAGTAAAGTCCTCTCTGTGGAGGTGACATCTGAGCAAAGATCTGAATGAAGTGAGGGAATATGACATGCCAGTATCTGGAAGAATGGTGTTCCAAAAGAGAAGACGAGCTTAATAAGTTCATGCAACACACTGTGTCAGAAAATAAATAGATGAGTGGGGTTAGGATTAGGGCTATATGACTGGAGAAGTGGCTATTGGCCTAATCACAATTTGCTTTCTGCTCAGCACTAAAGAAAAGGTGCAACCAGGATTTCCAGTCCTCTTCTGACAAAGCCTGAATCAGTATGGCTCTTAGGAAGTTGCTGCCCCGTCCCTAAGTATCTGTCATTTTACCATTTCTATCTCCCTACCCACTTCTTTGGAGCTCTGGTGGCACAGTGGTTAAGAGCTATGGCTGCTAACCAAACGGTCAGCAGTTCGAATCCACCAGCTGCTCCTTGGAAACTCTACGGGACAGTTCTACTCTGTCCTATAGGGTCTCTGAGTTGGAATCGACTCGACGACAATGGGACCCACTTCTTCACTGAAACTGGGCTCTACCTACACCTTCAGGAAATACGTGTCACCTTAACAGCTTTGTGTGCAATGTGAGGTAACTACTTTCACTCTTTCCTATCCCTTCCGCCCCAAGCAAGAAAATACTATATCCTCTAATCCAGGTGAGAAATTGAAAAGCTGTGCTCATACTTAACTAAAAACAATGACTATGTTTCTCACAGGCGGACAGCATAAACTCCAGTACCTTTTCATGGAGTTTTGAAGACTGTCTTCCTGACTACTTCCCATTACAGTAAAACCTGCGAAAGCAGGAACCTGTGTAAGGTGGAAACTTGTCAGAGAAGGAAATCTCAAATATTTTCCACTAAAACGAGCAACCGAAAAGTGGTGAGACTGCAGCCTGCCAAGGGTGGAAAGCTTGTGAGATTCAAAAAAACAAAGCAGTCCCATTGAGTTCTGGCTCTCACAGGTTTCACTAAGCCTCTGTTTGTATTTGTTGGTGTTGTTGTTAGGTGCTGTCGAGTCAATTCTGACTCACAGTGACCTCACATGACAGAGTAGAGCTGTTCCATAGGGTTTTCTAGGCTGTAGTATTTACAGAAGCAGGTTGCCAGGTCTTTCTCCTGCCGAGCTCCTGGGTGGGCTCGAACCGCCAACCTTTTAGTTCACAGCCAAGCACTTGACCACTGTGCTACCAGGGCTCCTTAACAGTTGAGAAATACTATGGTCTCTAAAAAGTCAAAAGGATAAGTAAAACTAAAGGAAGAATTATAATTATTTTTAACAGTGGTGGTGACACTGGGGGTGTACAGCAGAGGGGACACTGAAAGTGGGGAGAAACTGGCAGGACTTACCCTCAAATCATAGCCATGGCATCGACTGTCTCCCCTCCACCACGATCCTTCGACTCTACTACTCACTACCAGTGAATACTGAATACTTTTCATTTATTTAATGGTGTTTGGGAATAAAAAAAAATTAGCCTAATATTTTATATCCAAGTCTGCAATTTTATTCCCACCTATATTTCAGTAGCTACACTATTGTAAGTACCTACTATACTTTACAACCTAAAAGCCACATTTTGAGTGTCCTTTTGCCTTTCATTTTCTTCTTCCCATATACAACATTTCTTGCTAACACTTTAAATGTTGGGAAAATAACTTTCTGATGATGAATACCTTTTCCAAAGTCTTTAAGGACTCCCATGAACTCTTCAGTGAAAATGGACAACTCATGTCCAGAAAATTACTAAGACAAGTAAGCACAATTTATGCTTAAATTATAAAGACATCAAATTATCTAAAAGAAGAAACTGAGCTCCCATACGTAAATATTTCCTAAGTTTCTACAGAGAAACTTCCATTCTTGCTTTTGAGTGTGAGTCTCATGATTTCACAGTAAAGAAATGTTACAGAGTACCTAAGAAACTAATCCTTTGCTTGGCTATAAATTCTTACACCAGCAAGTATATGCTTCTCTGAAATTTTACAAAGCAATTAGATACTAAGTTGAGATTTATACCCCAACTTTCTGCACAAAGAAAGTTGTTCCTGCGAGGTTATGAATTCCAAGGCAAAGCCGAACTTAGGTCCTTTCTCACAACACTGACAAGCCCTTTGTTTGTCATCATAGTCCAAAATCACTCAAGGCATAAATGGATTTCTTGGCTGCTTTTCAAACATTAACAACAATAATACTAATAAAATACCATGTTACACGTCTCTCCTCCTCTCAAACTGAATACAAATGCAAACACACGGCATACAGAACCAGAAGTTTTTTCAATCAAAGCCCTGGCGACAGGAAACTATAACTCCTCAGCTTCGTGTACTCAAGGCCAGCATCAGCAACTAATCTGGGAGGAAAATCCTCTGGCAATTTTAATAAAACAAAAAGCCTGGTCTTTACTCCAAATATACCTGTAAAGTTGACCAGAATGAAGATCTACAATTTCTGGAAAAAATGAGTATTTCTTCCTTGGCATCTTGAATTCTGAAAGAATGCAAGATTTTTGTTGGCTTCCCATCAAAAGGTTGATAAGACCAGTAAGAAGCAGTAGGGGGATGGGGTGGAGTGGGGATAGGACCTGGGAATCTGAATTGCAGCACATCCCCCTATGAGCTAGGCAACCTTGGGCAAGTAGCTTAACTCTGTTTTCATTTTTCTACCAAACAACCAGCAGTTTTGTGGAATCAAAATAAATGATGTAACATGTAAAATCACCTGGCACATAATAAACAATCAAAACTGATCATTTTGTAAATACTGAGATCTTTGCCCAGTTAGGTATGCCAGATAGCATAATGCACTCTTCTATCCAATTAACCCTATAGTTATTTGACAGTACATTTGAAGCTAAATGAAATCTATGATGTGCCAGGAAATGAATTATCCTTTTTTTTTTTTTTTGGGCTATTTACTGGTCAGAACACATATGAGGATAAGTATTTGGTTTCGATGTTCGAATAGATGGGAGGGAGGGAGAAAAGAAGGAAGGTGGGATGGACGGGTGGATGGATCTTTTGAAATATACTTGTTTAAGACTATGAAAATCCCTATAGCAAAAATGGAGAATATTCCCAAATCCCAATCTACTGTATCTTTAATTCCTGAACCAGGAATTCCAAAGGAACTAGTTCAACTTTCCCACAGCCTTCAACACTAGTTTCTCTGCTTAAAACACTACTGATTGACATGTTAGATTTTATTCTCTATAGAAAGTATTCTGAAGTTAAAATACTTCATATTCACATACTCAGATATCAAAGATAATACAGAGCTAATAAACTTTCCAGAAACACACGCAGGAAAATATTACATCTTTTGCTAAAATACTTTAGAGTAGCAAAAGCTTCAACCCTTACCTGAGGGTGGGTCCATTCTGTGTTTATTCTCTTGACACCAACCAACTGGTCGAAGTCTGTAATCCAAGTAAAACAACCACTGGTCATAGGATTCAGTGTCCTCCAATCCCACATAGCGAAGTCGTAATCTTCCTCCAACATTTTCAATCACACTAACTATCCAGTACTGAAAAGGGTTCTGAGAATCCTGAAGTTCTATTAAGGAATCAACTGTAATGAGGTCTATAGGGCCTTTCCCTCGCAGAGGCTGTTTAAACAGAAGCAAAACTCCTTATTTTAAACTTTATTTTAAGGTTCTCATGGAAACAGATGACAGCAGAAGATAATATTTTTTCACACTATCATCCAAGCTATTGGCAAACAGTCTGGTGTTTCCCTCCACCCCCATCTTTTAACAGCCATTACCCCCCTCCCCTTCCCTTCCTCCCACACACACTTCCATTTTACCCAATTCTGTATCAACAACAAAAATCACACATAAATAGAAAATAACAGTTTGTGCTAATTTCTCACCAAACAACAAACTGCATTTGTTAGAAATTAGTATGTTTTTAAGAATTCTACCCAAATTTCCCCAGGGCTAGAAAACATGTAGTGGCAAAAAGTCTACTTTCCCAATAGATATATCTAAAATGGGGCTATAAGATTATGTCATGACTCTTCAATAGACATTTATTTTAAGATGATCACTGCTCTAATAACCAAGGCTCTCTCATACTCCGATTATGTGAGTAGAGCATGCATATGTACAAATGACATGTCTAATACACATTCACAATCTGCTAAATTAGACTATTATGTAAAGTTACTTCTATATTTATCCTCATGGTTAGCAGGTTTAGAGAATATGTAATTACTGCCCCATCTAAGAAAACTTTTTAGCATATGTTAGCATACGAAAAGGGTGTGCAACCAGTCTTGTAGGCAAATATGTTAAAAAAATTTTTTTAACTAATACAGTAAAACAATTTTCCATTTGTAAGGGTAAACAATCATCATTTTGATTTGTTAACCAAACAATAAAAATAGTAGGCATTAAGGTTCAATAAACAAATGCAGCAGGCAAAACCTTCATAAAACCCAGTTAACTGCATTAGACAGTAGTACTCTGAAGTACTGAAGTACTATATATATACACACACACATACATATATGCATTTATAAGAGAAGGAAAGGTTAAACTCAACAGAATAATGATATAGTCAAAATCCAATACTGTACTCCTTGTTATTTGTTTGTTTTTCCTTTTTAGGGGCACTCTTAAACCAGATTTGGCAATTCAATAATTATTTCTGACACAGTACATTTCTCTTCTTGTTCTACTACATATAGTAAATATAAAAACATTTTATCATAGAATTATTTTCAAAAGAACCATCAAGATTTCAGATTTAACTATTTTTATTTCAGCACCTTAAAATCTACTTAAACACATTTAAATATGGCTAGTCATTTCTCCTCTTGTTTTTATAAAGTAGGCTAATTCAATTATTAGTTAACTCATGTATGTTCGAATCTTGGAGTTATCCATCTGAAATGGCATATTTAATGGAGCCATATATCACATTAATCCAAGAAACTATACCAGAGCACATATATGCTTAGTTGTCATCTGTACAAAACAGTTATTTTACAGGAGTTTATTTACACTGACTAACACAGGACCAAGGCTTAAATTTATAGACTAGTGGAAAAACATCCTAACATATTATTATTTTAAACTGCATTCACATGGAAGCAAGTTTTCCATTTACTAATTGTACCACAGGTGAACATTCTTCAATGTTGTTACAATCAGTAACCTAAGTAAATCAGGAATGAACAGGTAATTAAGCTGTTTGGATATGAACATCTGTGTGTTCCCATGTTATCTGGAGAAGGATATATGCAAAAATGCTGCTAGGTTTGAGCTCATGTAACTGTGCTGCTTCAGACATATATAGCTGTATAACAATAATACATACACCTTCCAGTAAGTTGGCGGGTGCTGTCCGTGAACCAGTCAAATCACGTATGAGAAATTCTGTCCAGTCTGTGTACTTCTCTTTGATTGCTGATGAGACAAAGGAGAAAAAGCATACTTCAACACATCAACAAAATATCTAATAAATTTAAAATCACAGCACTTTTCTATATGTATGTGATATTCCAATTTTTGTTCTTTTTTTAATTCTAAGCACGGTGCTGAAGTATCAACATTGAGGCAATGAATCTATCAACAAGTAAGGACTTAACACCTACCATGTGCCTAGATTTTGCTGTGCATCAGGGAGATTAAAAAAAGGATATATGACCTATTCAGAAACTTGCTTTTTATGAACAATTATTAAAAACAAAAACAGAAGATATTATAAAACATATCATTAAAGAGGTTCCAAGAAGAAAGAGGTCAATAGGAAAACCAGGAAAAGTTTTCCAGGTAGGAAAATAAAACCAGATCCTGAATTCTATAAAAAGTTTATACAGGTGGAGAAGACGGAGAAGGGATTTTCAGACTGGGGGGAAAGCATACACTAATGAGCATGATGCTGTGAGGGAGGAAATGGAGAAAACTGGTACAATCATCAGCCAAACTAAAGCACAGTTTGAGCTGTGGAACACTGGGAAGTAACGTTAAGTGGTAGAAATAAAAATACAGGCAGCCCAGAAAGTCAACATAGAATTTTAATAAGCAGGAAATTCCTGCACAAACCCATCAGGTTACAGTAGAAACTTTTGAATAGAATAGAGTCTAAAAGCGAGGTAACTAAGTAAGAAGCTTCTGCAAGAATCTAAGTACAAAGCATTAGGGCCCAAAGTAGGGGTGATAGCGGTGTGAACAAAGAAGGAATGTATCTGACACAACTTTTGAAAAAGAAATATCAGACCTTGGATGCCAACTTCTACAAGTGATTAGAATCCAAAATCCAAAAACAGTGTGATTTCTTGGCTTATCTCCCAAGTTACGGATCTCCAAAGACTCCACCAGGTTATACCATCATCCCTCAGAGGCTCTTGCCTTCCAAGAGTACCACAGGCTTTGCAAAATTAGCAAAAGTGAGGACAGAATATTTGCCCCAGATTCCCATCAACCCACACTGTGACTCTGACCTTCACGTCATATGAAGCTCCAGCAGGCAGGTGAGCACCCCTAGAAAACACCCAAAACTTAGCCTTTATTAAAGGTGTAAGACTCAAGTGACTTGCATACTGTTTAGGTTCTTCAAAGGCATAATGCAGTTATTTCTGGCTCAAACTTAAAGTCCATGGGGTTATTACAAAAGGGAAAAACACACTTATGGAGTGAAGCAGATCTGGGTTCCACAGTAGGTAGTGCTATCACTGGCTGTATGTCTGAGTGATTTACTCAATTTCTCTTATACACTGTTCCCTCATTGGTAAAATGGTGCTAACAACACTTTCCCTACAAGGGTGCAATATGGATTAAAGAACAGAAATAATATTATAATAGTACCGGACACACTGAGCACTTGACAAATATTAAATTATTACTATTCCCACAAATTCCAGATTGAAACTTCCAACAAACTTTTTGGCCAATGAGAAAGGGGAACAGCAGCACTACCTGCTATTTCAATCATTAACCTGCAAATGAATCAATATCCTCCCAACCTCCCAATAATTATCATAAGACCAAGAGAAAAATCAAAAAAGGATGCAAATCATGCAAGCAAGGTTGGAATGCTCAACTTTCAATTTAAAACAATGTCCTACCCCCTACTCTACTTATAACAAAGGGCAACTTACCATTCATCCTCATTTACTACTAGATTTCTTTTCTCAAATAAAATATCATCCTCCTTACTTTACACATACATACTCATATGGAAACATATATTTGTGGCAAAAATTGTGTTCTTTTCCATCATTAGCAAATCCTGTTACAATGACTTCAACCATTTTTAAATCAGCCCTACTGCATGCCTAAAGTGACTGAGAAGATGAAAAACAATGGCATGCGAGATAAATCAATTACAATGTGTATTCATCTTATGCTTCACAAAGACCTTCCCCTTATTTTTTAGCTTTTGGAGCTTCTAATAATGCTATGAGGTGACTGTTCTTAACTGACTTTTATACAAGTTCACAGAGAAAACAAGTGCCAGAGCCGATCTCAAATTCAAGTATTCAGATTTCAATCTTACATGGACTCCTTCCCCTAAGTCTATGACTCTCTAAAAGCTTTTACAAACAGATAAATCAATAATTTAAATTGCAGGCATGATAGACATAATAACTGTTGAAACGAAAGTTTAAAGAATAGAACAAAATACACAACAGTACTCAACATATATCCATTCCATATTTTGAAATGAAATTTCAGTATTGTAAAAGAAGACAATCAGCACACACTTAAGTGACAGATGGCCCTATGCTTGACAGAATCTATGTCTATATCCACTATGAGAAGAAAATTCAGTTTGCCACTTATAGTTTGTTTCTAACATGCACACAATCCAAGATAACATGTATGGAAAAATTTTAAAAATACGCAGGCACTCTATGAAGACCTTGTACAATACTTAAATTGTCTGAGTCATAGCAAAAGAACCCTAGAGAAGGCTCTGAAATTTACATCTTGTCTCCAACTTTCCATTAATATGTTTCCGCACAAGACTGATTCAAGCTTTAGGTGCCACAGAATATATAGCCAAATTATTCTCTATGGAAAATGTATCTTAGCTATAAAAGTACACAGACCTTCTTAGGTTAAAAAACAGAAAGAAAGAAATCATTCTCACGTATTTTGATAATTTTAGAAGAAAAACTGTTTCAGGTCAACATTTAGTTTTTAAAACTCTAAACTTTCAAATGTACAACAAATGTATTACAACAAATATTGTCATAAATTAAAAACTACATGGAACAGATTTACAATTCCTAGTCTATGGACTTATTTTAACCAATATTCAATTCTGTTAAATCCTAGTACAATAAAAGTTGCCTGATAATTCCTTAGAGTTTATTGCAACAGAAGCTAATCTTCATTGTTCCATTTGTTCACTTAACCTTTTAACTACAAATATAAAAACTATTTACTACAGAAACACATCTCTCTTAGACTCAAAATCAGAGCAGTATAGAAAGAACGTAAGAATAATCTCCAGCAAATGTAAACCAATTCCTTGCCCTATGGTCATCATCTTTAGTAAGATCCACACACTAAATGTCAGAAAACTCACAACCTGCTATGCACCTAACTACAACATCAAATGTAAACTTCTGTGGGAGAAAAGAAATGATAAAATAATTCACAATTCTGGTGGAGGATAGTTTATTCACATCGTGGATGAGGGTGGCCATTTTCCCACATTTTTAATTTACAGAGGGAAAATCCTACAAGTCCATAAACATAAAATCTTATCAACTGATTTAGGAAATTAATATTATTAGAATCATATATTCCTCTCCTTGAGCATACGAATGTGACCCAGCTGGAGCTGGGCTTACAAGGACTCACAAGGACACATCAGCTGAGCCCTGAGGTATAAAGACAATAGCTAAAATAATCTGGGAAAATATCTTTTAGGGAAACTTTCACATAAAGCTCATCAAACACAACACAAAAGACATTCCAGTCTTATCTTTTTCTATTAGCATTTAGTGAATAGAAATTTGTTGGACCAATGAAGACCTTCCTGACTCTCCTTACTGAAACCTGTACCAAAGACTGTTAAGAAAGACAATTCAAAATGTAGGATCACAGTTTCCAGTCAATCTGAAAAGGCTAAGCTTTCAATGGTTTCACCCATTTGTAACGTTAATATATAATTAATATAGAATTATCTTAGATTGTGTATATATATTAATATATAATGTTGGCTCTGTAACTGGTCTCGGGACTCAGGCAGACATGGCTGTGGCAGCATGCTTGTCCGTTTTCCCATTCTTGCCTATTCTTTGATATTTCCTTGGACTCTGGCAGACACGGCTCTGGCAACATGGTTGTCCGTTTCCCACTTTTGCCATTTTGAAATATGCCGAATAAAACTTTCTTTTTGCTTTACTAGACTTTGTGATGTTTTTCCCCTATAACACAACTCAAGATCTATTTATAGTCTTCTCATGAACATTTTTTTCAAAATTCTGTTCTGTTACAATATTATGTAAACATTCACCTACACCTTTTTAAAAATCTGAGTTGCATTCCAATTATGCCCCATTTGGGGGAGGAACCCACATCTCACTGAAGAAAGTAATCACACACATAAGTTTCAGAAACAGAAACACAGACACATAAACACTTTTTGTAAGGACATTTAGAGATAGCCCTAAAAATCCACAAAAGCTTTATTAGGATTAGAACATTATTTGTGAAAAAAAGGTCCCAAATAAAAGGCAGAATACAGTCACACTGAGAAAACATCAACGATGTTGGATTTCAAGCCCCGTCGGGCATATGTAAACATACATGGTCCAATGATTTGTCACTTCTCAAAAATGGAGTCTTCTGTGAAGAACGGTCTGAAGGTACAAAGCACTCCATCAGAGCTGACCACTCGGGCAGCTCCTTAACAACGAGCCCTGTGCTGGGGTCAAATGATGAACCATGTCAGCCCACGCCCCTAAACTCTCCTTCCCATGTTGCCAAGTCCAACAGCCAGGGCCACTAAGAAGACCAGCTGCTTCATGCACCTCAATTCATTTGAAAGATGAGGAAAATAAGTACAACAAACAGAAAGGCTATTTTCAGGCATATTCTAGGTAAAAGAAAAGGTGTTTTAGTCATATTCCCATGTTCTAGAGTATAAACATGCAGATGATGTTTATTGTTGTTGTTGTTATTGCTCTTTCTGGGCAATTTTCTCGACTCACTTTTAACCAACCCTTCCCTGAAATTATTTTGCCGTCATATTTTAATTTACAATGGTTCATTCTTGTTCTTTGGTTGTTCCTTTCTTACAGAATTTTTTTTTTTTTTTGGTGTTGTTTAACAGATGCAATTTTCAAAATTTCTCATTTATGGTAATTAGAGGGTTCCCCCCCCCCACTTTTTTATTCCCTGGCTCCTCTCTGATTCCTGGGGGTTGTTTTATTGTTTACTCCTTCTTT